ACACACACACACACTCATAGTCTCACACACACATATACTGTCTCAGTCTCACACACTCACAAACTCACACACTGTCTCACACACACTCACACACACACTCTGCCTTCCACACACTCACAGTAACACACACTCATATACGCACACTGCTTCACACACACGCTCAGTCACACACACCCACTGACAGTCACACATACACACACTCTCATACACTCAGTCTCATACACATTCTCGGTCACACACAGTCACACGTACACACACAACACAACTCTCGTATACTCAGTCTTACACACATTCTCGGTCACACACACTCATATAGTGACACTGTTCCACACAGAAACTGTCACACACACTCATATACACAGTCACACACACACACACGCAACACTACTCTCGTACACTCAGTCTCTCACACACTCACTCTCATATACTGAGACACACACACACACACACACACACCCTGCTGAGATAGCGCGAACCAGCCAAACCAGCAAAGGCAGGTCGTGGAAAGATCTGAGGGTGTGATGAGAAGTGGGGGGAGGGGTGGGCGAGGTTTGGGGGGGACAGGGGGCCGGAGCTCGGGGGGAGGGAAGCTGAGAAACATCCTGGGGCTTGGTCCAGACCCCAGCGAACAACAGGGGGCCCGGATGCACATTGAAGGGGCTGAAAACGGCAAGTTCAGGCCCAGAGCCCCAGAGCGATAGCACAGCGGGGAGGGCGTTGGCCTGGCACGTGGCCGACCCAGGTTCGATCCCCGGCATCCCCTAGGGTCCCGTGAGCACCGCCAGGTGTAATTCCTGAGTGCATGAGCCAGGAGTCAGCCCTGAGCATCACCGGGTGGGACCCAAAACAAATAAGCAAAAAGCAGTGGGAAAAAGATTTGGGGTGAACAGGGTTCGGGGGGGCGGGAGGCGGCCACCCAGGGTGCTGGGGGCCGCAGCATGAGGTCTTGGCCACCTTGAACCACTCATCGGAGGAGGATGGACCACCACCAGGAACGGCGCGATCTTGGCTGCACTCTGGGTGTGAGGGAAGGTGCCGGGCCCCGGGGACCCCAGCTAAGTTCAGAACAGGGCGGCCACGTCCACTTGGCAGGCCCTCTCGGGCGTGTCTCAACACTCAAAAAAATCTTACCCCGGGCCATAGAACAGTGTGGGGCGGGCGCTGGCCTGGCACGCAGCCGAACTGGGTTCGATCCCCGGCATCCCATAGGGTCCCCCGAGCACTGCCAGGAGTGATTCCTGAGTGCAGAGCCGGGAGTCAGCCCTGAGAACTTGCTGGGTGTGGCCAAAAAGGCAAAAATCATCAAAACCCTAGCCCAGGGCCAGAGATGGGGGGGGGGGGGGGCGTTTACTTTGCACATGGCAGGCCCAGAAGGTTCCATGCCACCCCACGAGTTCCCTGAGCCCCACCAGGAGAGACCCGGTGCGCAGGCCATGAGCCAAGTCCCTGAGCACCGCCGGGGTAGCCCCAAAGCCAAAGCAATAGTAATATTTACTAAATAGATAAAAATCCTAACCAGGGCTAGAGAGACAGCACAGCGGGGAGGGGCGTTGGCCTGGCACGTGGCAGACCCGGGTTCAATCCCCAGCATCCCCCAGGGTCCCTCGAGCACTGCCAGGAGTGATCCCTGAGCGCAGAGTCCGGAGTCAGCCCTGAGCATCGCCGGGTGGGACCCAAAAAGCCAAAAAAAAGAAAAAGAAGAAATCCTAACCAGAGTTGGCGAGATCAGACAAAAATAAAGGCCATTTCCTAAAGACCCCAATTCCATCCCGGACACCCCAAGATCACCGAAGCATCTTCACGGATCGTTGCTGAGAACACAGCTAGGGTAATCCCAAAACCACACACATACACACACACACACACACACACACACACACACACATATTTAGTCACAAACCCTCCCCCAGGGCCGGGGAGAAGACGCAAGGAACCTTGGCACCCAGGTGCCATCCTGGACCCGCAGTCCTAGATCAAGGCTGGGTGTAGCCCCCGCCAACCCAAAACATCCCTCCCGACACCCCTCCCCCCAAATCAAGACATTCTCCTCCGTGTGCGTCGTTCGGGGCTCAGACTCGCAAGTCCTAATTTTTCAAACACTCGCCCTGCCTCACGCGTTGGCAGAGGGAGTTCATTTTCTCTTCCTCCGGTTCCCTGACACATGACAGACCTTGAGTAATGGGTTAATTCCCTTCCCATCCATCACGGCGGGCGCCTGCCCTGCCTGGTGGCAGCCCTGGAAGCCTCTTCCATGCAGAGGGCACTGGGCGGCGGGACCCCTGCCCAGGTGGGCACCGGCCTCCCACCAACACCACAAGCAGAACCCGGTGGCCCTCCCTGCTCCGGCCTCAAGCACAAACTCGCGCTCACCTCGACGCAGTCCTTCAAGTTCTTTCTTGTTGCAACTGCAACTAGTAAAATTAAACTTGGGTGAGTGGGGGTGGGTGAGTTATCAAAGCTTAAATAACAGCGTAACAGCCTAACAGCCTGGCAGGGAAGGGCGCGCAGGACTGGGCACCCGGTACCTACCGCACGCACGTGTCCAAGGCCCCCGCAAATCGCCAGAGATGCTTACAACGCTGATCCCAGTGCCCAGCCCTGCCTGCAAGCCGAGGCAGGCTTCTGGGTGCTTCCACAGAACCCAGTGAGTATCGCTGTCTGACGTCTGCCACAATAAGTTTCCCTCCTCCGGGGGGTACTGAGACCAAGACCCAGGACCCTCAGGAGGAGACAATCTGCCCACCTCTGCTCCGAGGGGCGGTACCAGGGTGCCCCACCTACCGTCTGGCTGCAACACAAGGCCCTGGACGGGGACTCGCCCTGGAGAAGCCTCAGTTACTCACTCGGTTCCCGAAACACGCCTCCAAGACCCAAGCCAGGGGCCGGAGCGATGGCACAGCGGGGAGGGTGCTGGCCTCACACGCGGCCGACCCGGGTTCAATCCCGACATCCCCTAGGGTCCCCCGAGCCCCGCCAGGAGGGATCCCTGAGTGCAGAGCCGGGAGGCAGCCCTGAACATCACCAGCTGGGACCCAAAAAGAACCCACAGGAGCCCCGAGTTCGAGCCCCCAAGCCCTACATTCTGACTTTGGCCCCCGAAATAACAAAAATAATCCAACTTGGAAAAGAACGGGGACAGACAACCCCACCTTTAACTGTGGGTGAGGGGTTTGGTGGGTGGGTGTGTGTGGGGGGGGGTGTTCCAAGGGTGTTCCAAGTCCTCAGGGGGTCTGAGGGATGCTACTGCGGCTATCCAGATGACCGAGTGGACAGGTCACCGCTTGGACTTGGGTTCCGCCAGGCCAGGCCGATCAGGGTCCCGTCACCAACGCCCAGGGGGCCCACACTCGCTGGCCAGGAGCTCAAACCCTGGGCCTCTGAATCAGCCTGGGGCGTCACCGGCCACTCACCACCGCCCTGCACACACTCTGAGTCAGCTCCCAAAGGAAGAGCCGCTTTGGGGCGAACTCTGATTTGGGACAAGCGCCCAGCCCACCCCCAGCCGCCTCCAGGGCGATTCCCAGGAGCCTCGGAAGCCCACAAGTTCCTACCAGGCAATGAAGAGAAAGGCCCCACCAAGGAGAGAGGGAAATTCCAGCCCAGAAGCAGGCGGATGGCATCGGTCAAACGACCACACCAAAGCAGCGCCCAAGAGGCCGAACTCTGCTGGCCGAGAACGAACTTCCTGGGACGGGCAGATGACACCAACCTGGGCCAAGAAGCCCCCCTAGATGCCCCCTACATCTCACCCAGGTCTCTCTGTTCCCCGTTTTTCCTGGTCAACGCCCAAACGATTTTCTGAATGCCCACCTGCCCGCTGGGTTCAAAAGAAATGCTGGCGGGAAATATTGGGGTACAGCCTGCTAACCCCATTTCCCAGTACAAACCCTCCCGGGCACCTCCTGGTTTACCGGGAACCAGACTCCAAGCGGGCGTTGACAATGGCCAAAGGCTGGTGGGCAAAACCGGGCAAGCGCTGGCTGCCACCCTGGGGGGCCCCCCCACACAGCCTTCTGCTCTTCCAGATCCCTTTGAAGCACCCACTGGGTCTCCCACTTCAGAGGGGCATGGCCCAGCAGCACCCAAGTGAAAGGTCACTAGGACTCATCCTGGTGGGCGATGCTAAACGCCGCCTCCCCCCAAATTCCATAGACCGTTTCCTTTCAAAAATCAAAGGTGCCAGAGAGCCGGAGAGGGCGTTTGCCCACCCGGGTTTCATCTCCGGCGTCCCATCGGGTCCCCGAGCACCGCCGGCTGTGGCTCAACAACAAACAACAACAATAACAACGGCAACAACATTTTCAGGAGGAATCTGCAAAGTTCTCCCCGAAGCCGGGTCGGAGCAGGAGACGCGGGGCGACCCGGGGCGGGCTCCGGAGTTTGCCTGCCTGCCGGCTGGGGTCTGGCCGGACGCCAGGCGCGCCAACCCAGCCCCGCGTCGTCTCCCCCCCACCCCCAGCCCGCGGGTGACGCGCAGGCCGGCGGGCTGGTCACCTGGGGACGCCCAGGGGGGCTCTGGCCCGGCCGTGGGGTGCTGGGGGCCCCCGGAAGGGAATGAATGGGCCGGAGGCCTTGCAAAAGCAAGACAGAGGCTGAGCGCGCGGCGGCCCCTCGGGGAGAGGGAGGGAGGGATGAAGGGAGGGAGGGGGCGGCAGGGCGCTGGGGAGCTGGGGGGACCCCCGCTTCTCCAATGGCCTGCGTGGGGCCTGCGGGCCCCCCAGCTCGGCTGCCGGGAAGTGGGGGGTGGGGGAGCCCCAAAGCGCCCCAGCCGGGCCCCCCGCCGCCCCCGGAGGTCAGAACTCGAGAAATCGGGGCGCCGGGACCCCCTCCCCGAAACCCACCCACCGCGGGGAGGGGAAGGAGCGCGCGTCCCGGGTTTGGGGGGGCTCCGCGTTCCCGGGGAGGCCCGCGAGGCCCCGCGCGGGGACCCGGGCGGCCTCCGGGCCTCCGGGAGTGGCCGGCGCGTCCCCCCCGCCGCGCCCCCCGCGGGCCCCGCTTACCTCGGCTCGCGGGGGGCGCTGAGGGCGGCCCCCCGGCCCCCGCCGGCCCGCGCCCCCGCAGCCGGGCCCGGGGCGCGGCGCCAGCGCTCCAGGCGGCCCCTCGGGCGGGCAGAGCGGCGGCCGCGCCTGGAGCCCCGGGACTGGGAGCAGCGCGGGCGCCGGCGGGCGCGGCGAGGGCGGGACCCCGGGCGTCGGCGACACTCCCGCCCGCCCGGCCCGCCCGGGAGGAGCCTGCGATGGGCGCGGGGCCGCGGCGGGCGCGCGCCTGCGTCGGCGTGTGGCGGGGGCGGCGCCGGCGGGACCCCCGGGCGCGCGCGCGGCTGACGCTGCTGCTCTCGGGCGCGCGCGCGTCTCGGGGCCCGCGCCTCGGGGACCCCTTGGGCGCGCTCACGGGCCTTGGGGACCCCTTGGGCGCGCGCGCGACGGGGGACCCCTTGGGCACGCGCGCGCGCCTCGGGGGCCCTTGGGGACAGGCACGGGCCTTGGGGACCCCTTGGGAGCGCGCGCGACTGGGGACCCCTTGGGCACGCGCGCGCGCCTCGGGGGGCCCTTGGGGACGCGCACAGGCCTCGGGGACCCCTTAGGAGCGCGCGCGCGCCTCGGGAGGCCCTTGGGCACGCGCACGGACCTTAGGGACCCCTTGGGAGCGCGCGCGACTGGGGAGCCCTTGGGCACGCGCACGGACCTTGGGGACCCCTTGGGAGCGCGCGCGCGACTCGGGGACCCGTTGGACGCGCTCGCATAGCTGACGCTTGTGCAGCTGGACACCCGCGCTTGTCCTGGGGGGGGTCTCTTGGGCACGCGCGTGCATCTCGGGGACCCCTTGGGCACCCTCGCGCCACTCGAGAGGGGGGTCTTGGGCAAGAACGAGTGTCTGGGGACTCTTTGGGCACGCGCACGTCTCGGGGTATCCCTTGGGCTCTGGGGCGTGTCTGGGGGGGCCCCTTGGGCACTAGCGCGTATCTGGAGGGGGGCCCTTAGGTACTAGCGCGGGTCTGGGGGCTCTCTGGGCACGCGCGCGTGTCTCGGCGTATCCCTTAAGCACGCACGGGGGGTTCAGGGTATCCTTTTGGGCAAGCGCGCGCCTCCAGAGGGGGCCTTGGGCATGCGGACGCGTCTCGGGGGACCCCTTGGGCACGCGTGGGGGTCTCGGTGAGCGCGCGTGGATGGCCACAGTGCCCTGTGCGCGCGTGGCTGGCCTGTATGCATCCGGTGCACGCGCCCGCGTGTCGCTGTCTCCACCCCACCCCACCCCCAGACCCAGAGGAAGAGTCCCGAGCCGGGCTGCAGTGCCAGATGTGCAGAAAGGCGCGTCCCCGGCTGGACACTCGGCCGGGGCGCCCTGCGATCTCCGGGAACCCATGGGCCGAGGCCCCGCGCCTCCTCCCTGGATCCCTAAAGATCGAGCCTCTCTCATCACCCCCCCCCCCCGTGATCTATTCGGATCCCCTCCTTTCGCCCCGTGGGGAGAAGCATTCGCTCACTGGCTATTTCTTGGATGTCCAGCTTCGAATTGGTACTTGCGCACTGTGGAAGGTCTTTGGCGCGCGGGTGGGGGCAAGGATCAGGAGAAAGGGGACTCTGCAGGTCTAGGATGCGGGTCTCGACGCGGGTCTCTCTCAGATGCAGGCGTTGGAAAAAAGCGCACCCGAGCCCCAGACATCCACCAGGCATCCCCCTGCGCGTCTCAGCAAAGCAAATTCATCCCTCGAGTTTTCAGAAAAAGTTAACTCCCAGAGCTGGGGGCGGGGACCATGATTTCCGGCTGTTTGGTCTTTTCTCCACCACCACCCCCCATTCCCCAGCCCCTGGGGTATGTGAGTTGTTGTTGTTGTTCTGGGTAGGGTTGCTGGGGGTCACACCTGCAGTGTTCCGGAACTACTCCAGGTAAATTTCTCAAGCGTCGTCGTTGTTTTGGTTTGGTTGAGGGGCTGCCCCTGGCGATGCTCAGGGCTCACTCGGGGCTGTGTGCTCAGGAGTCACTCCTGACGGTGCTTGGGGGACCTTGAGGGATGTGGGAGATCAAACCCCAGTTGGCGTGGGCCAGGCAAGTCAGATTAATTCCTGGGCAGCAGGGGCAGGGGGCTGGGACCCCCATCTCTCCCCCCATGCAGAGTCTGAGCTGCCTCCTTTTGTCCAGGGTCCCATAGGGCCTCCCCACTCCTCAGTGGTAAAGGCTGGCAGCACTTTGTTTTGGTATTTGGGTTAGGTGCTCAGGGCTTCCTCCTGCCTCTGTGAGCAGGGCACCATATGGGATGCAAAGGAATCGAACCTGGGTCGGCCACGCGCAAGGCAAACGCCTTATCCGCTGTCCTATGGCTCTGGCCCTGCTTTCAGTTGATTTCTGTGTCTGAGTATCATAATTTCCAATAGTGCTGCTGCACTATCATACACAGTTATATACAGTTATACACAGTTACATTAATCTTTCCACCAGGGTGTCAAGATTCCACCATCAGGGGCCAGAGAGAGGGTCCAGGGGGTAGGGCACTTGCCTTGAATGCAGCAGACGTGGGTTCGATTCCCGGCATCCCATAGGGTCCCCCGAACACCGCCAGGAGTGATCCCTGCGTGCAGCGCCAGGCGTCAGCCCTGAGCATCGCCAGGCGTGACCCCCCTCCCAAACTAAAACAAAAATATCTCGCCACCCCCGGTCTGTGATCAGACCTCAGTTTTTGCGTTAGGATTGCCTAATCCCGTCATTTCCTTACACCCCACAAAGGAGCAAGCTCAGGAGCTCGACTTCGCTTTGCCTTTCTGACCCACCACACGGCATGGCACTCTCCAACTCCACTCAAGAATTGAGCGTTGGGGGCTGGAGCGATAACACAGCGGGGAGGGCGTTTGCCTTGCACGCAGCCGACCTGGGTTCGATTCCCGGCATCCCACAGGGTCCCCCGAGCACCGCCAGGAGTGATCCCTGAGTGCAGAGCCAGGAGTCAGCCCTGAGCATCGCCGGGTGGGACCCAAAAAGCAAAATAATAATAATAATAATATCTGGTCCATCACCCAGTTCAGCACCTTGATCAATATCTGATCCATCCATAGGGGCTGGAGCAACAGCACAGTGGGGAAGGCGTTGGCCTTGCATGCATCTGACCTGGGTTCGAATCCCAGCATCCCATAGCGTTCCCCTGAGCACCACCAGGGGTAATTCCTGAGTGCAGAGCCAGGAGGAACCCCTGTGCGTTTCCGGGTGTGACCCAAAAAGCAAAAAAAAAAAAAATTACATCCCTTCAAAGGAAATTTTTTGGGGGTGGTAGGGGTCTCATTCACACCCTGTTCTGTACCTGTGCAGTCCCGGAAATCAAAGCCAGACACTTACACACACACACTGCAGGTTCAAAAATCTTTGAAATCAAGTGTTTCATCATCCAGACCAGTTCTTGCATGTTCCTTGTGGGACGTGGAGAAATAAAAGTAGGAACTTGAATCCGTGTGAAGAAAACGAAAAGCATCAGAACCCTCCCATCCAGAGAGCAGTCCTGAAGAACTGCCAAAAGGCCCTAAATTTGCTCTTCAGTTATTTGATCTCCATGCAATCCGCACACACGTTCTCATTCAGTAGGGCTGGTTTCCCCGAGGCCAATGGCCCAGGGCTGAGAGTGGGTTGCAGGTATTTGTAAAATGGTGTTTGTCTTTGGGTTGAAGGCACGGACTCTAGAGAAATAAGGTTCCCCAGAGAAACTAAGAAAGATGGTCAGGAAAGACGAAATTAAGTACTTCGCTGCTATGTGGATGGATCCAATGAGTGAAATGACTCAGAGGGCCAGACACAGAATAACCCCCCTCATATGTGGGAAATGAAGAATTAGTTGGCAGAGAGCAAATGTCCAAACCAGAATGATAGTTCAGGGTGTTTGTCCTGCACGCAGCCGACCCAGGTTCGATCCCCAGCATCCCATAGGGTCCCCTGAGCACCGCCAGGAGTGAATCCTGAGTGCAGAGCCGGGAGTCAGCCCTGAGCATCGCTGGGTGGGACCCCAAAAGCCAAAACAAAACAAAACAAATCAAACAAAGTGAAACCAGCAAATGAAGAACAGAACTGGTCTTCAATAGGAAGTTTGTGACTTTGGCCTGGGGCGGGGTGTGGAGAGGGGACAGGATAGGGAGAGAACATGCGGCAGTGGGGGAGGGCAGGGGTCCCTCTGGAGGAGAGAGGGGCTCTGGAAGGTTGGAAGACATAAGCATGAAACCAGTAGCACCGTCGCACCGTTCTTCATCGAGTTGCTCGCGCGGGCTCCAGTCACGTCTCCATCGTGAGACTTGTTGTTACTGTGTTTGGCATATCGAATGCGTCACGGGGAGCTTGCCAGGCTCTGCTGTGTGGGCGGGATACTCTTGGGAGCTTGCCGGGCTCTCTGAGAGGGACGGAGGAATCGAACCTGGGTCGGCCGCGTGCAAGGCAAACGCCCTCCCCGCTGTGCTTTCGCTCCTATGGGACCAGTGATGGGAGTGAAAACCACAGTGCCTGAAATCTATCATTCAAGGGCCTGTCACAGAGGCAGGCTGGGAGCTGGGGACTTCGGAGGCGGAAAGTGAACGTTGGAGAAGCGACATCCCGTGTCTGAAACCCAAACATGAGAAACTTCCTTTTTTTTTGCTTTTTGGGTCACACCTGGCGATGCACAGGGGTTACTCCTGGCTCTGCACTCAGGAGTTACTCCTGGCAATGCCCAGGGGACCCTATGGGATGCCGGGAATCGAACCCGGGTTGGCCGCGTGCAAGGCAAACGCCTTACCAGCTGTGCTATCTCTCCAGCCCCTCGTTCTTTTTTTTTTTTTTTAATGTAGGAGTACTGCTATTTATTCAGCCACTGATGAAGCTGATTCAACTGGGCATGAACTCCACAGGAACTTCGTGCTTGATGGTGACCGACTGAAGAAAGACAAAAAGGGAAAAAAAAGTTCCGGAAATGAATCAAGATACCCAGATATGAACCCCCTGATAAAGCAGGATTTACTAGGCCACAAAGCGCTCTGAGAGCTCAAGAACAAATTCTCCAGGGGCCAAGTGATAGGACAACAGGTGAGGAATTTGCCTGGCACACAGCCAACCCAGGTTCAATTCCACAAGGTCCCCTGAGCCATGCCAGGAGTGATTCCTGTGCACGGTGCCAGGAGTCAGCCCTGAGGAGGTATGCCCCTCCCCCCACAAAAGAAAACAAGAAAAATATTAGATTCGTACCTTCAGCCATATAAAATCAGGACTCCCAAAGTCTCAGATA